CCAGCCTCTGCAATGAGCCACACCAGCGGTTCCTCGAAGCCGGGGGCGAGGAGATCACCCCGCCCGTGCTGACTCGCGCCGCCGCGCCGCGCTCCTCGCACCTCCGCTCCCCCCTCAATGCGCGCCTTTCCGCCGCCGCCTCGCTGAGCAGCAAGGCGGCGGCGGCCTCCTCTTCTGTTCACCCTCCTTCGCCCCCTGCCGCCGCCGTCTTGCCCGCCGATCCTTCATCACATGCTGTCACTGTTGTCTCGCTGAACAGCAAGACGACGGCAGCCTTTCTGCGCCGCTTCCGTCTCGCCCGTCCACCCGCCCCCGCCACCTGCTCACCCGTCTGCCACCACCATCTCGCTGCGCAGCAGGACGATGGAGGCCTCCTTGTGCCGCCGTCATCTCGTTGAATGGCAAGACGACGGCGGCCTTTCTGTGTCGCTGCGGTCTCGCCCGTCCACCCGCCTCCATCCCTCTGAACACCAAAACCACGACAGGCTCATCGCGCCGCTGCCGTCTGCCTCGGTCGCCCGCAGCCGCCTGCTCACCCCTCCCGTCGTCGTCCCTTCTCCAAGACAGGACTCCGCGCCCGCGGCGTCCTCGTCCACCCCTCCCTCCTCTGTGCCCGACAAGCAGCAACCACAGCCATCCGCACTCCCCGCGCAGCCGTCCGCCAACTTTGTACAGCACCTGCACACCCCGGAGATGATCTTTGCATTAGTCAAAGATCTCGGCAACGCGTTCCTTCATTCGTACATGGGAAGGAACGCGAACGGATGATGCACACCCCGAGCGACGCGCGTGCACGGCGGTGGCAGTTGCTGCGCCGAGATTCTGCCTTCCCCTGTGCTCTCCTGTTCCCCCATTTCTGCCAATCATCAACCTCATTCGACGGTATCAACGATGAGCATACCATTCTCTGAGTTCACTTCCATATTCCTTGTTATGCACTCTTACTTGATGCCACTGTGATGGCATTCTATCTTGTTTCCTCACTGTACATACACACTGTACATACTTGTGATGCTATTCACTCCATAATAAACAATGTATACCGCGACAAAGAGCTGCGCGCTTTACCACTCATTGAGTGCGTGATCAACCCATTCCTGCACTGGGTTCGATTCCTTCCTACAGGGCGAACCACCAGGTGAATTGCGAACCGATCTACAACCCAGCAGGACAGGTGTTCGAAGTCTCTATACTCGGTCATCGACGGCCAAGACATACCGCGTGATCCGTCTAAGGCTGGAATCGTGTGGCGTGAGCATGTCCGTCCCTGTTTCCATATGATTTAATTGTGACTGCAAACCTCAATGTTTGGAGCAAGCCATTCTTGCAATGAATACTCAAGCTCCACAGGTAGGTTGATTGTTCAACACATTTACCTCTGCTACGGATCCATAGGGCAGCGACAAGCTGCATTCCGCTTTCTTTGATGACATCCACCGGGGGCAAAATCCGATTTTCGGAGGGAAAGCATGGGTCAAACATGCTCCGACAGGGATCACGAACTTTTCCCACAGTGCCTGTTCACAGAACATGCAGGTAAAACTTGAGATGTTCTTTCAGTGTATGGTAATTTTCAAATATTATTTCAATATTCTACAAGTATTTCTGTACATCAAATGAATATGTAAAATTGAAATTGAATGTTCTCTGTATTATTACTGTGGGAATACGTGATCCCTGCCGGTGCGCGTTCGACTTATTCCCTCTCTGAACATTGCTTTTTGTCCCCGGTGATCGGCGCACACACACACCGCTGCTGTTCCCCAGTGGTGCTCAATCGGCTTCGATCGCCGGCCTGTACTAAGACATAGTGTGTCAGGCTCTGTGAAACTACGCTGAAGAAGCAGAGAACACCTGGTATCTGTATGTATAGTTTCACCGGTGTTTGACGCCGTTCACGCGGCTAGATGTGCGCTCACTTGCGCGGTGCGTGCACATCCTTATTTATAAGCTCGCTATACCGCTGAGAGATTGGAGCTGATGTTCTCTGATACAGATAGTGCTTCAGTATGCCTAAATTGAAGATGTAGTTTGGGATTAATATACCACCTCGTGCGTGTGCGTATATGCGCTTTTCATTGTCGTATATTAGGTTTAAGACGATAGAGTTCAATAGGAAGCCACGAGTCCCCCAACACATGGCAGAGGGCACACAGCCTCGAGGCTGTGTGACGCCGGCTGAGTGGTCCTTTTTAGATGGTGAGAAGTGATATTCGCAGGTTGAACCACCACATCTGCTACATGGTGTCTCTACCTGAGGTTGTACCTCCAACAAGTCTGCGACACGAGCAAGTTCCACCTGAATCAGAATTTGGAGCAAATGCAGGAGGAATCATTGCGAGGGTGGACAGTGAGTGTATGTTACGGATGCTGCGCGCGCGATGATCGAGCGAAGTGAATGGACAGGCAGCAGGACACAGACCTCGTCTGCACTTGCGAAGAAGGTTGCGGAGCAGCAACGGGCCCTCTCCCCTCCGCGATCGATCGAGCTTCCAGTCGAATTATGGTGGGGGATCATCGATCTTGTGGCCGACGAGATTCCGTCCTACATGGATGGCAGGAATGAATTGCGAGAGTTGGCGAGGGTGTGCCGGGCATGGTATACTCGGTGCCGCTTCCATGCAGAGGAGAGGCTGGATATCATTGAGAGAGATAAGAAGGAAGTTTACCGGCTGATCAGCAGACTCAACGAACACCCGGAGCGATACAGTCGCATCAACAGCGTGAGATTCGTGAACGACAAGATCAACTCCTTCGGCTCGTTTGTTATCCTTATGGCAGGGAAGCTACCCCAAGTGGAGACACTATCTTGCGGTAATCGTCACAGTCCAGGGTTGTGCGAGTGGATCCCTGGGCAGCTGCATACGCAGGTGTTCCTGCATGTGAGGGTCGCGTTCGAGTCGGTCACCACCCTCCGTCTGTGTTTTGTCCGGTTCCCTTCTGCGATGGTGTTTGGGAAACTCCTTTGTGCCCTTCCGCACCTTGCCTCGTTGGTATGCGAAGGTGTGTATTTCAAGAACCCAGGCGTTATTCCGGGAACAACGCGAAGCCTCCTTCAATTCGGCACCCTCGACTTGCTTGACAGCCGTTGCATCGTCGACTTCCTCATTGAGACCGGGGTTGGCGCCTTCCTGAGCCATGTCATTATCCGGCGAAGTGGAGATCTTGAGGCGTGCTCGACGTTGGTCCGTGTCGCTGCTTTGTCGCTCTCCTCTTTCCACTTCACCATCATTGGTAGGCATGATCTGAGAACATTCAATGGTACGTCACTTGGTCGTTTCATTGTCCCTGCAGCGCAGAGTCGACAGGTTTTTTTTTCCAGAGTCAGGCCCAGGCCTTCTTCCCGACCTCACTCCGGCGCGAAACTTGCGTATCTTATTCATCGTCCTCGGCGCTTTCTCATTTGACTCGCGCGAGCTAGCAGCAGCATTGCCTCGCGCCTCTCTACCTAATTTGGACGAGATCAATATCACTGCGATGCAGGTCCGAAAGACTAAGATAAAACTCGATAAACTCGACGACTTTTCGTATTCGCAGATAGATAGGATCCTCTCTGGGCCCCGATTTCCTGCCCTTCAAAAGTTCACCCTGCATCTCCAATGCCGTGTTTTTCGCTGCAACGTGAAGGACGTGCTATCCGAGACAATCTGGAGGACGCATCTTTCGTCAAAGCTTCCCCTCCTCCATGCCAGTGGACGGCTCTTGTGAGTAAACAGGTTCATAATGGCTGTCAATCATCCCAGTTTGCACTTTCAGACACTCACTTAATTCTTAGTACCTCTGTATTAGTTGAAATAAAGTAAAATCTCAACCACTCAAATAACCAACATCTGCCTCGATTTTCTTGTCGCTACACATGTTGAACACCGTTGCACCCCCATGACATGCTCTGCTGCTCTCATCCCGTCCTTTATTCCCCTATTCACCGGAATGCGGGCATTTAACTTCACTGTTTCCCTCAAACATCCTCCGTGAGTTACGGTCTCTGGATGTGCTAGAATGTATTTTCACCAATTCCGAACATGTATGAGGCATACGCTTAACACACGTTTGCGTCATGTGCTAACTTCGCAAGGTGTGCCTATAATATGGAACAGACCGAGAATTTCATCTACGTGTATTCTATTCATCGTTTCGCTGTTCGTCGTTTTCATTTTCACTTCGCAAAGCATATCTTCAGTGCTATCATCTTCTGATTATATATTTTTCTCATTTCCGTAGCCGGAGACAGATTCACAAGATTCAAGTTATATAGTAATAATTTAGAACTTACTGCAAGTCCGAAAATGGCGCGAGCTTGTGCCGTCTTGTGCATTCTCCGGTGTGCATTCCGGAGAATGATGCGCGTATAATCCACTGTATCTATTACCCCAGAAGATTAAATTACAAGGGGGGTGCATGAATAACAAGACAAGGAAGCCCGCATTTACAAGGCCTGCGAGGCGAGCATGGTTTGTATAGTTTTCCATCCCACTTGACAGGAGCTCGAGTATACCATGGAATTCCGGCCCCAAGACCAGTTTGCATATAGAGCCTTGTTGGTGCCTTCATCAGCTCACAGTCCATCGTCCATTACACGAGATCAGCGGCATGTTCATTCATATCAGCAGTTCACTTTCATACAGTCTCTGTAATTATAAACATCCCGCTGCAGGAACGGATAGGTAAAGAACAATCGCTGCTTCGTGCAATGATCGAGGCACATTGCACTGAATGGTCGCTAACTTTCCGTATCCCAACCTGCGCTTGCACATCTCAGCGGCATACATGTCTGACGCGCGTCGAGGTAGCTTATGCTTGAGATATATTACACTTTGTGTGACGAATGTGTCAACTCACACCGGATTGAGCTCCTGCCTGACGAATGAGGGCTGATGATCCGTGGACGAAATATCTGAAGACGGGATACAGCTGGGCTCTTGGGACAAGATAAAACTCCTCGACTTATATGCTGTATTAATGTTAGCACCAGCTGCATGCGCGTACACGTCGAGCCACATTGCCTCGACTGGACGCTGCGCTGACAGGGCCTCGCAAGCCCCACCATGTCCCTACAGCATCTAAGAGAGAATTGTTATAGGTCATACTGCGGTGTTTATTCCATTGAACAGGATGAGCTCCGATCGGAATTCGTCCCCCACTTGGACAGCATGCTGGAAATCGCGACTGATCCTGTGCTGGCTGTCTGACAGAAACAGGATCCGAGATGCAAAGACGCCATGTAATACCTTGAAAGCAGTGGAGACCCATAGGCCATGTATATGACTGGGGAAAACATCGAGCACGTAAACGGCGAGCATTTACACGTTGAGAAGACTATCTCATCCACCTTCAGTCCACTTATACGCAGTGTATGTTAGTATCTCGTCAATGCCGAAAGCAAAATGGCATGCACAATGTGATGGGTGTAGATGAACTAAGTCGATGCCGTCGATGCCGCAGTCTGAGAAAGGAAACTGAATTGTTTCTGTCGCCCGGACTCCACGGAATCGACGCCACGAGCCAAGCAGATTGATTCATGTTGTGAAAGTCGAACACATGAGTATATGGGCGCACCTAGAATATGCATAGCTAAGGGACAGCTGGCACCAATACATTTCCCCGAGATTTCTAATGACTTATTGTGAGCCTATATCCGAAAATTCACAATAATCAGAAGGATGTCGGAACAGGACATCCCCACAGTTGACAGTAAACAGTTGGTGTACATGCTCACTTAAACTGTTTCCTTTTCTCTCCCTTCATTGTTTACAAGTAGGTGCACAGTGTATGTACGAGCGGTAGGTATGAACATAATCGAAGCAATGGCATCGGACGACGTTTTCCATAGTTGCTTGAGTTCACATGAATATTGCCATCGTGGATGCTTCAGGCACCATCCAGCCACCATGATGTTGGCGAAATGATGCCGCTTCTTAGACTTCGGCATTTCAAGCTGCCAGCTTCCACTGCAAACAGACGCAGTACACACCAACATGCCGTTCAGACAGCGTGATCGAAAATCTGCATAGCTGTATCATAAAGCAAATTTTGAGTGACACAATGGGTAAATGGGGGAGTCTAACCGTCGAACACGGGCCAGCAGAGATCGCATTTCTCCCTAAATTTCCGGAGTTTGAACATTGAACATTATGTTATGCCACCGAACATCGCGGATCAGTCGCCTCTGATTGCGGTATCTACTATGTTCTTTGCATGCAGAATCCGGTACTTAAAGGATTGAGTGGAAATGCGATCTCTCACGGCAAGTATCCGGCGCATGTTCGGCCGTACTTCAGCAATTGACCAGGCGTAATGACGACTCGGCGGAGTCCAACGTTCACGTACTATATTCAGAACCGCCTGTTGAGATGGAATAAAAGGGGGCCCATACTCCCGCAAAACTTCAGCAGCCTAACACTCTAAGTTTCCCCACATCTATCCGACGAAACATGCTCAACAAGGTCCTCGTATATGCTGGCTTACTATGCACACTCACCTCAACAGTCGTTGCAGTCGTCGAAGTGATCCCAGGTCCTGGTTTTCCGTCGTTGGAGTCTCTCGGCCTCACATCTGAGGAGTTGTTTGCCAAAGGTCCTCTTCCCGCCCTCAGTAAGCGCAAGTTATTTCTTTTCACAGTTATTAAGGGCTTACCAAATTCACAGCCTCACGGATTACCGAACTCCAAAAGCGCTACGACAATGTCTGCCAGACTTGGAGCACGGGCAGCGTTGACAATGTCATCGCTTGTTTCAATTACCTCGAGGCCCTTGGCACCCAGGCTTGTGGTGTCAGTGGAGGACCTGAAAGTAGTGTTATCATGTGCACCGCTGGAGATGCAGAAGTTAGTGGCGTTAATATTTCTAACGAATTCAGTGCCAGTTCATACTGGTAAGTACTCGAGTACTCTTTGCTAAGTAGGGCTGACGATTTTCTATCAGCTCGAATGCTGTCTTGGGAGTGCAGTGGATCTTTACATACCGCAATAATGGTGGCCAAGTCGGGGGTAAGCGCAAGCTTGGCAGTCTATCCGGGAAAATGAAGAGGCTAACATTTCCACTAGGCTCTGCGGCGGCCAACGGCAATGGCAACTTGGTTATGAGCGTCGACAACGTCAGCTGGGGTTAAATAAGCGGTTTGCGGGGCGTTAGAAAGGCAGGAGTTGAATTCATTAGTGGTACGCACCGAGGAACGAGCCACATCCCAGTCTTCAAACACCGCGGTAGGCACAGACTGAAATGGAGCTAACAAGAAACATTTGGAATGCGATGACCATTGAAAACTTCAAGGGAGAATATGATTTAATGCATATGGGTAGTTGTCAGCACATATAAGTGGGAAAAAATAAAGAGACTTACGGCTCGTACTGTAACACACGTCACATATGTAATGAGCACGAGGTTTAATGCATTGATGTTGATATATGGTATGCTATGGCTGTTTTTAGTCAAAAGATTAGTAGAGCGCACTGAGAAGCACAAATTACGAGGATTGGAAGAGACCAAGATGATGCATGATGAATGGAGACTGTGAGCGTGAGCGTGCCCGTGGCGACAGAGGATCGCCGAGTGATTCAAATCAGCGGGCGAATGCCAAGAAAGCAAGTTGGCGCCCCCCGGTTCATCTAATTGGTCCTCTTCACTCGTCTAGATCACCGCTTTGTTTCTGTCTGTCGGTATGCAGTCGTTCAGTTGGATGTTGATCAAGAAACTCAAGATCCCCGCAATAAGCGCGAAACTCTATGCAGGAACACACAAAACCGCGTATCCGCTACGAATGGGGAACAGTGCAAGGAGGACGTCTGTTAAGTAGGGTGCGGAGACTTTGTGCGCACAATCTCGTATCGTCTCCCATACGTACACGTCTTACTATCCGAGAGCAGTAGAGAGAGGGTGGTATGGGTCGAACAGAGATAGAACAGGAAATTCCGGGAAACGCACAAGAAGCTGGGAGAGACGTCTCCGATGTCTTGCGCATATCTTCTAACAAAGTCATGATACGTGGACGTCAATGAGCTACGCATGAAACATTTCCATGAATATAATTATTACCCCAGGACCAGTAGAGTGCGTAGGAGATGCGAGTGTAGAGGCAGAAGGTAGATAGGGCCACAATGAATGTGCTGAGTGCAAAACTCACAAGATTCAAGCCAATTATTGCAGCCTTGAGCATCAAGTCTTGTAGTCCTCTACATTGACTAATACGGATATTCTACGGATTGAGTGAGCACCATCATATGCAAATCTCGAAGCAGGAACTGGTTCATAATGGTTGTTTACTCACAAGAGCCGTCCACTGGCGTGAAGGAGGGGGAGTTTCGACGAGAAATGTGTCCGCCAGGATACCTCGGATGTCACGCTCATCACCTCACTTGGAGTGACACAACATTGAAGGCAAAAGGTGATCTTTTGGAGGGTGGGAAACAGAGGTCCAGAGAGGACGCCGTCGATGTGCACGTAGGAATCATCGTCAAACTCATCGAAGTTGCTTCGTCGCTGATCGTCACCCTGGAGGTCGACAGAAATCTCAAGTTCACGTAGGTTAGGTAAGGAGGCGCGAGGCAAAGCGCGTTCTAGCCACTGTGGACTAAAGGAGATCGAGGAAATCGAGACCGACAGGGCACACAGGTTTTGAGCTGGAGTGAGATCGGGGAGAAGGCCCAGATCTAAGTCTGGAAACGGCCATCAATATCGTGCTGGATTCGCAACAAAACAACTCGGCGACGCACCATTAAGATCCTGAGCAATACTCCAATCTATGCGAAGATGAAACGAGGAGAGCGAATGCGCGGCGACAGTGACCAGCCTCGAACCCTTCCCTCGCTGTGGACCGACGACGACCTGGTGGAGGAAGAAGGCGCCGGGCCCACTCTGAACAAGAAAGTCGACAACGTCAGGGCTCTCAAACAGGCCGACGGTGGCAAGTCGGAGGGGACTTGCTACTGGGCCTGGCATAACGCTTGGATTCTTGAACCTCACCCCGTTACATGTCAGGGAGCCGAGGCGTGGAAGGGCGTGAATAAGTCTTCCAAACACCGCCGCAGAGGGGAAAAGGATCCAGAAGAGATGGAGCGTGGTCACCGACTCAAATGCGGCCCTCACGTGTAAGAAAATGCGCGAGTGCAGCTGTCCAGGCTCCCAGTCGCAGTGGAACCATGTCAACGAGCCAGACTTGAGCTCGAGCATCTCCACATTAGGAAGCTTCCCTGCCATGAGGATAGCAAGTGACCCAAACGTACTGATCTTCCCGTTCACGAATCTCACAGTTTTTATGCGGCCGTATCGATCTGGGTGCTCGTCCAGTCTTCTGATCAGCCGATACACTTCTTTCTTGTCCCTGTCGATGACATCTAGTCTCTCCTCAGCACGAACACGGCACCGCGTGTGACACGCCTGATTCACCCTTGCCAGCTCTCGCAGCTGATTTCCGCCAGTTTCTGTGTGCCAAATGTCGTCCGCAACAAAATCAATCACCTTCCACCATACTTCAGTCGGAAGTCCAATCGATCGTCCAGGCAAGAGATCGTATCGCTGGTGCCCGCCCCTCGTCGCCACGAACGCGGACGGGGACTGCGCCCCACCCCCTACAGTTGATTGTTCGATCATGATGCGCGCAGTCTATGGCATGCACTCACTGTCTCCCCTCGCATGAATCTCTCCTGCCTCTGCTACAACTTCTAGCTCAAGCGGCACGCCGTTGTGTGGTGGGCTCAGCGGAAGGATGAGAGTTGCCGGTACAAATGTCATGCAGCGGAGGGTGGTCAACGAGAGAGCCGGTATCACTGCTCTCATCAGATTATAAATACCACTCTGCCGGCCTTACGCAGCCCTGAAGCGATATGGCCTACGCTATGCATCTGACGACCCGTGGTCTTCTATCGAACTTTATCGCATTGAACCTGATATATCACAATGAAAGGCGAATACACGTACATGCGCACTTGGTGATCATAGCCATACACGTCGAGAACATTTATGCTCCAGGTCTGGGTACAGTTCGTATTCCAGAGCTTGATATCCCGTCCTTCAGCAGCATGGCGAGCGTGCAGACGAGGATATGCACCCGCTTATTAGTGCGTCTTTGATCACGTGTTACCGCTTTTGACGCATGCCAAACCACGCATACAGATATACCAGTGACCTCTACTTTTCCAGATCCAGCTTCGTAGACGGAAGCTTAACATAGCCTTCTGACAATACGGGCAATCGAATCTAATTGAGTGGCCAAGAGGGAGAAGCAGGGGCGGAGAGATGGAGAAGAGTCGCCACTCAGTAGGTCCCGGGAGGAATCGGTGGTCTCTGTCTATAATACATATGGCGACACTGAAATTGTCATCTTCCTGGAGGCTTCGCAAACATTGATGCACGACCGCCAGTCCACCTAGTACGCAAAAGAGCCCACGTGTTCACGATTCGATGGATTGCAAGCCACGTGGTGATTTTGACTGGTGCACAGAGCAACATCATCGATCGAACTCACTGTCCATTAGGGAAGTTCAAAGTTGACGCAGCTGGGCTCGCAGAAAGTTCTGCG